AAAGCTTGAGAGCCCTTCTATATGTGATTAAATTTTCAAGTATCTAAGGGCCTTGGTTTTTGCTGTGCAGAATTTTGAAAATTTGCAATTTTTTTTTCAAAATCTGGATTGCAAAATTATTATGCAAAATCTATCGAACCGATTTTGATGAAATTTGGTGTGATGATTCTACATAACATGAAGTTTTTTTGAGCCAAATATAAAGGTCCTATACCCAATTTAAATACCCCAAAAAAATTCCCTAAAAAGTATCGTTTTTTAACCCCATTTTTGCGATTTTTTCGATTTTTACCATAATAATTTTGATTCATTCGATTTTTAACTAGACATGTTTTGTAAAAAATTTAATTGCAAACATTTTTTTCCTGTTCCATTTTTGTCTAAAATTAACACTTGAAAACATACATAATTAAATAGGAAGAAAAATATGACATTTTTCGAATTTTTTTTTATAATGTGCCGCCAAAAGTTAAGACCACGTTTTTTTTATGCGCATAGAAAAATTTTCATTTCTAGTGATATTTGAAAGCCAAATAGCCAAAAATCTCCGTGAATATACGATTCATCCAAATATGGCTTTTTGAAACAGATACCGTCTGGACTCCTATTGCACACAAGTGGCCGATATCTATGTAAATTCAGTTATTTTTCAATTTCTTTCACAGCTAATAAAGGAAACAAGAAAAATAAACTGTCAAAAATAAATAATTTCAAAAAATATCATAACCTTTTATACAGTACACCGATTGGTCCCAAACAATCTCCCTATATTTTCAAGACAGATAATATAAACAGAAATGAAGATACCTTATTACATAAAATTGTTCCGAAAATAGGTAAAAGGGGTAACTTTGGAGCATGATTGTTATAATTTCATCTACAACTTTCTTTATCCTCTTTTAAGATTTATCGATCTGCAGACATTAAAAAAAAAATAATCTTTCTTATCCATCGTATATACTCAATAGAATTGGCATAATTTTCAAAGTTTCATTAAACACGTTTTCCACCTCTAGATCGGACAAGTCATTTTGATGGTAGAAATGCGTTACAGGACACCTTCAACTATTCCGTAGGTCATTTCGTATTATCCGGGTCCGAGAACAGTTATAGCAAAAATAGGGGGCTAACTTTGTAAGTCACGCCATATCCACCCCCGGACCGGACAAGTAACTTTGTGGGTGAAATTTGGTTGTAGTACAATCATAGATGATCATAGAATTGTTAGAAATTTATTTTTATTAATTTAGTTTTGGGGCTAACTACACTCAAGTGGCACCAAGAGTATTTGCACACTTTCCAGCAAAGAGGTAAATTGCATAATTCGCCCAATTCACCCAAGGTCGGATCCCTAGTATTAATTAAAGATGAAACAAAATCGCCTTTGCAGTGGTCACTTGGGAGAATTATTAAAAATCATCCCGGTTTGGATGGGGTAGTAAAAGTTGCCACAATGAGAACCACTAAAGGGGTGTTCAAACGTCCTTTAGTGAAACTATGTCCGTTACCGGATGCTGAATAAAACGCCTTATGGTGGTATGTTCTGTATGTATGTATGTATGTATACAAAAAAGACCATATA